TTCTAATTGAAATTGGATTTGGAACTGGCAAAAGTCTGTCCATTTATATTTACTGACGCCTTTCTCTTGCAGGAATTGTGATTTTGAGGTTTGCTGTTATTGCTGCTTTTGCTTTTGTTATTGGCACTACTGTATGCCAGAGAGAAACCTGAATTGAATCCCCTGCAGTTATTTTTACAATCACCAGTTTTCTTTAAGAATACATCACTGTTTTATTCTCCGCATTCAAAACACAGTTCCCAATATCAAAAAAACACAGAACCATTGAGTTTGGAAGGCACCACCATAGATCAGCAAGTCCAACTCCTCTGCTCAAAGCTGGATCAACGAGTATATGTCACTCTGGGCCATGTCCAGTTGGGACTGAGTATCTCAAAAAATGGTGAATCCACAACATCTGTAGGTGACCTCTCCCATCTTTTGACTAATCTCACAGTAAAACTATTTTTCTTATTTGGTTCAAATGGAATTTTCAGTATTTCAGTATGATCACCTTCCCTCTTGTCATTTCACTAGACACTATGCAGGTGAGCCTTTCCTTATATTAGTCATCTTTATTCATCTTTTTAACTAGTCCTATCAGTTATTTAAACACACTGATAAGCTCCTTCTGAGCCTTCTTATCTCCAGACTCAACAGACCCCCCTCTCCTTGTATGACAGATACTCTAGTCCTTAATGATTTCATGCCCCTTCACTGGACTTAGTCCAGAATGTCCACGTCTTTCTTCTACTGGGGCGTCCAGATTTGGACCTAGCATTCCACATGTGGCCAGTGCTGCCTCAACCTGCCAACAACCCTCTTTCTCAGGCAGTGCCGGATGCTGTTGGCCTTCTCTGCCATAAGGGCACATTGCTAGCTTGTGTTCAGCTTTCATCCATCAGGACCTCCACACCATTCTTTCAAAAACTGCTCTCCTGCCAGTTGGTCCTTCATGTCGACTGGTGAATGGGATTATTCCTCACCAGGTGCTGAACTATGCACTTTCTATTACTAAACTTCATGAGACTTCCTGTTCACCCACTTCTCCAGCCCACCATGGACAACACGATGCTCTGATGTATTAACCTACTCCAGTTTTGTGTCATTTGCTACTGAGGGTACACTCTGTTTCATCAACCAGGGCATTAATGAAGTTAAACAGTACTGTGTCCCATCTTAGCCACTGAGAGTACTAGTGACTGGCTTCCAGCTGCTCTTCTGACTGCAGGTTACAGCCCTTTGAACATGCCATTTCAGAAAATTTTCAATTCACTTCACCCTTTATTTATCTAGCCCATACTTCCTTGTGTCATGTTTTCACAAGAGTCTGTCTCAATCTTCCTTAATTCTTATCATCTAGGGAGGTTATTTTGGAATTTGAATCACTTCCTATCATTATGTGCTATCATTACAAAGAATTCTAATTGACCAGTCCTTAAAATATCTGAGCCTTAACTTCTTCCACTTCCAAAGGGAGAGCCGCTTACTCTGACTGTATTTCATTCCTCTAAATCAATCTTTCATCTGTTATAAAACACTGTGTACTTGCTCTGTATTTTCACATTTTCATTACTCTTGTCAAAGACTTGTTCAAACTCCTTTAATAGAACCATATCTTCTTACCCTTTCAAACAGAGTTTTATGAAGTTTTTAAAAGAATTCTAAGAAGCCAATGAAATGTGAATAATTCTATGTGAAACTGTAGTTTAAAATCCTACCACAACTACTGCTGTTTAAGAACAATGCATGTTACAGCAAAAAAGGATTGCCCCATCCATTCTCATAATAATGAACTCTGGGTTGCTTTAAGAAGAAACAGCATAAACAGAAAAAACATCACTGATTATTACACCAACATTAGTCACATAGAGGAAAGTGGTATAACTTCCACTGATTTCAGAGAACATTTGACCAATGCATAGTGTATATAATATACTGAGATGAAAAGTGAAAGTAAATGTCTAAGGAAAGGTTCAGAAAGAATCAGGCTGAAGCATGAAGATATCATACAATTGAGGGTAGAAATATGATGCTGATTCTAGATTTCATTTACACAAAATAAGCCCATCTATAAATAGCTGCCCAAACTATGATCGGTAGAAACTAAATTCTATCAGTGAAATGTAGCACAAAGTCAAGAGAGGAAGCCACTTCAAGAAACTAACGATGACCAATACTTTATTTCTGCAGAGCACATCTTGTTTAAGCAGTACAATCTTTCTGGGCCTTGCAGGTTCTGCTCTGTTCTTGGCTAAGGGAATGGTGTTGGAAGCTACAATTGCCTTCTACCACATCAGATGAACTTGAAGACTCCCACTCCCACAGCTAAATAACACTTTATTCATAGCCTTTGACGTATTTTTTAGCTTTAGACTTAGTTCTGCAATACCTTGTGCATGAACTTGATAGCAAATGCCATAAAAGACTGTTGATATGGGATAGATAGCACTTAATGTAAGAGTTTTGGCCTTGATGCTCCATACAAAACATATACTCCTCGTTCCACTATAGAGGCAATTATTAATTTCACAATGGATTTGGAAGAATACAACAGTGTTGTAACTTTCAAATTACTGTAGGCAAGAAAATGTCTAAAGAAGTAGACACAAGGAAAGGCTGCTTGCCATTTAAGCTGCCTGTCAGTCTGTCTGACACACTTCATAGAATCATAGAATCAACCAGGTTGGAAGAGACCTCAAAGATCATCGAGTCCAACCCTACTGTGGTTACTAGACCATGGCACTAAATGCCACATCCAGTCTCATCTTGAAAACCTCCAGGGATGGTGAATCCACCACCTCCCCAGGCAGCCCATTCCAGTGTCTGATTACTCTCTACATAAAAAATCTTTTCCTAATATCCAACCTAAACCTCTCCTGGCAGAGGTTGTCTGTGCCCTCTTGTCCTACAACTGCTAGTTGCATGGGAGAAGAGACCAGCCCCCACTTGACTACAACCTCCTTTCAGGGAGTTGTAGAGGACAATAAGTTCTTCCCTGAGCCTTCTCTTCCACACTCCCCCCCAACTTTGTGTCATCTGCAAACTTGCTGATGGTGCACTCAATCCCCTCATCCAAATCATCAACAAAGGTATTAAAGAGCACTGGGCCCAGCACTGACCCCTGGGGAACACCACCAGTGACCGGGACACCTTTCACCACCACTCTCTGGGCCATCCAGACAGTTCTGAACCCAGCAGAGAGTGCCCCTGTCCAAGCTGTGGGCTGCCAGCTTTTTCAGACTTCACTACTGTCTCTTTCTTCTTTTATAACTGAATTGCTTTTCCAAGTGACATTCTAGATTTACTTACTTTTCTCACCTCAACTTTAGCAGTAACAAAGGCAGTACAAGGGAAAAACAACCCCAGATCTCCATTTTCCTGTAACAAGCTGTACCTGGAACAGAGAATTCTAAGCAGTGTGTCTTGAAAAAAAGGCGTATCATCCTCATTATTCTTTCCATTCTGTTTTAGTTACAAACATAATCCTTCTTTCTCCATAGTATTCTCTCAGCATGGTACATGTACCACCATACATTTGATTTTGTGAAATAAATACTGTGAAGAAAGCTACGTTTAAATTTTATGCTACTGAGATTTATTTACGCAAAACAAAAAAGGACTAGTGACTACTTTTTTTCAGTGTCCCAATGTGGCTTTTAAATCTTATTTCAAATTAACGCTTACTATGCATCTCCTTATGACTAGGCTTAATTTATATTTTATTTCATGCTGCACTGAAATAGCACATTATACATATGAAGACACTGTCAAGCACACAGAAGTCTCAGTGGTTACCTTTTCAAAGAGCTAACCATAAAACTCCAAATTTTATTATTTACATTAGAAATTTATTTGACTCAAAGTGTCAATTTAGTTATGAAAGCAGGTACAATAACAATTTGTTGTCCTTATAAAATATGTACATACTGCTTATTCTGTATCATGTGCTACTGATGTAATGGCAGACCAGATTATATTTTAACCTAGAGAGAAAACAGATGAAAACAGAGCAAGCTCAATAATATCAGTGGCAATGATGGACTATACAAAAAAGCCCAAACCAAAACCAAAACAACAACAAAAACAAAAAAAAAAAGAAAATGACAAAGAAAACCACACACACACACACAAAAGAACAAAAAAACAGAGGGAAAGGATTGTATATAAAAGTAGTTCACAGTTTTGATCAAAATCACTGCCACTGAAAGATGATATCATAGTACTTAGCAGGACTTAATCCATTGGTCCAGGTTGGGATTTTTCTTCCCTTCATTATCTTTGTTGAGTTTTTTTAATTTTAAAACTTTGACTGTGAAAAAATAAAGACCTTGTAATGAAAAGGATAACTGAAATGTTCTTTAAACTGTTCTTGCCTCATATAAAAATATTTCTCTGGGACTATTCAGCCAGACATTTTTTGATGATTGCAGGGTTTATCTGAGTCAATGGAAATTCATCAAAGATGTTCAGATGCACAGGGAAGTGTCTATTGTACCTTCACTTGGCAATTTGCCTATTAAAAGGGCAGAGGTATACCCTGATAGCCAGCAACTACTAGACATCTGTTAGTTTTAAATTAATATGGGCATATTAACATCCAGTTCACTAAGATAGTTTAAAAAACTATGAAAAAGGATTAAATTCTCAGACATTACTATATAATGTTAACTTCTCAGATATATGAACTATGAAACACAAATGGGACAAGCTGTTGATTTTAGGACACTGAATGCTTGGAACCGTTCCTGGGTAAATTGACAGCCTTCTGTCACATATAGAAAAACATGGTAAATTTACACAGGTGGAATCACATAGGCATGTGGCATTCTGTTTACTTGTTCTGTGGAATTAAGAAATTCACACACACACAGAAAATTCCCCTTTATCCAGACTGGCTAAAACCCCAATGGTGTTAAAAAGAACATAACATCTCAAGATAGTGTTTCTTAAAATCTGAAAATTATTACTTTCCTTTCTAATTTTTATTTTCAATACTATGTGCCAAATATATTATTTACCTATCTCAGAAGCAGCCACTGTGATGTTGTACCAAGGTGTCTCCTCTCTGTCAAAGATCTTGGCAGTCTTAATGGTCCCAGTACTAGCATCAATGGTGAAATACCTATCTTCTTCTGTGTTATGATCAATGAAATATCTATGAAGAAATATAACAATAAATATATACTCATTGTAGCATGTATAATCCAAAGTAACAGAAAGCTATATAAGAATATTACTTTCAAGCTTTTAAAATCATAGATGCTTTTAAAAACACCCTAAGAAAAGTTCTGCATTATGGAGAAACCTAAAGTGACACCATACTTCATTTCTTTTACAATGTTTTATTTCTTTTGATACATAGCAAGGTTTCCACTGTGAGTCACAACGATAAAAATTACTAACAGGTGGTATTTTACACAGCAGTATACAATCCTGTCAAAGGTAAAATACACATATACTTTGACTAAAAAAATCATGAAATGGAAAAGCAGATAATAGAGAGATATTAAGATACTATTTTTCTGCGTATTTGCTTGTCACTGCAAACCAGTGTTCTCAGCCCTAGTACCTGTTTTGAAGCATGTCTCTCTGACATGAGGCTGATAACATGATGACACAATCCATTTTGTAACATAACAACTACAGAGACTAGCAGCAGAAATGGCTGATTCCCATAGCTGCAAATGACACTACCCTAGAAGCAGATGCAAGTAGCCCTCCTTTACTCCCTTGGCTTCTGGGCACTTTGCCCAGCAGAGAAAGTAAAAGCCTTGAAGTGGGTAATGGAAGCAGAGGGAAAGAACACAAAAGAAGAGATTGACAAGACATTTTTTTCTCAAAGCCAGAATAAATTACAATGGCTTTTAACAAATGAAGCAATTACAGAACCCTATCAAGACTACACTAACTCCAGAAAAAAAATTAAGGAAAAAGATTATTTTATATACCATAATTGTTTCTTCCTGCTACTTTGTCAGCTCTGCTTTCATTCTGTGAAGTTTTTAATATATGGAAGGTATATAAAGGTCAGAATGACTTATTTGTCCCGTCCAATTGCTCTTATTTTTACATCACCAGAAGTGTAATTGCCAGCTAAGAAAAAGAGTGCTGCACATAAAAGCTGCCAAGCTAAAAAAAATATAAAAGTAACTGCAGTTTTATTTCTCTCACAATGTACTTATTTAGACTATTTGTGGAAAGGAAAAATAAACAAGCAAACATTTCATTGAATGAGATATTAACTTCACAGAAGACATGAAAAAGCAACAAGAAAGAAAGCACTTAGAGGGCGAGGCAGCAATTTGAGTGAATCACCTTAACTGGTCAAAGGATCGGACACTTAGTGGTAAAGACAACTAGAACTTGAGGATTAGGTTAGATCTTCCTTATTGGAGCAAACCTGAACCCATGTCTCCCACCTGCAAGAAGCATTTTACATCTGCCTTACAATATGCTATTTTGCCTAGTGTCTTTTCATGCTGTGCTGGTTTTGGCTGGGGTGGAATTAACTTTCTTCACAGTGGTTAGTATGGGGCTGTGTTTTGGATTTGTGCTGAAAACAGGGTTGGTAATAAAGAGATGCTTCTGTTATTGCTGAGCAGAGTTTACACAGAGTCAAGGCCTTTTGTGGTTTTCATACTGCCACAGAAGTTGAAGGTGTATGGCGGGTTGGGAGGAGACACAGCTGGGACAGGTGACCCAAACTGACCAAAGGGAGATTCCATACTACATGACATTATGCTCAGTCTATAAAGTGGGGGAAAAAAGGAGGAAGCAAGGGATGTTTGGAGTGATGGTGTTTGTCTTCCCAAGGAACCGTTACACGTGATGGGCCCTGCTCTTCTGGAGATGGCTGAACACCTCCTGCCCATGGGAAGCAGTGAATTAATTCCTTGTTTCGCTTTGCTTCTGTGTGCAGCTTTTGCTTTGCTTATTAAACTGTCTTTATCTCAACCCATGAGTTTTTCTACCTTTTACCCTTCCGATTCTCTCCCCCATCCCATTGGTGGGGGAACGAGCAAGTGGCTGCATGGTGGGGTTAAACCGCGACACGTGTTTCCAGTATTTTCAGCAATTAAAGAACAGACACCAGAAATCAAAGCAGCCAAAGCTAGGATAGAATATCTTTCCTTCTTGCCTGTTCTCCTTCTTTCCTTTCAACATCCTGAAAAGTGAAACACCTGCCATATGACTGTGGGAGTTGTTGGAGAGACAGCAGACCTCGTTCCCACTCATTTTATGTTTCTCTGGAATGAGAATTTAACTTGCTGTCTCCAATCTGAGCTAAGTCATAACCTATTGTGCAGTTAATTAATTACCAATACCTAAGAATATCTCATTCTAAAATATACCAGAAGTACTCAATAAAGACACTTTTGATGTGCAAGATGACAGCTGAAGTTTCTTCAAACAAATAATAGACTCAAACTGTCTCCTTACTGCAAGCAGACTGGCAAGATCTTCATTATGCAGGGGAAGGGGCAATTTTTGAGAATTTACATGAGGAAAATTTTTTTCAGAAGAGATTATTTAAAGTGTATCCCTAATTGGATGAAAAAAACAAGTGATGTTGACAGAAAAAGAACAAAAAACTTTGCTGAATTTATAATTTCTGGATCACAGTGGTCATTGCAGACACTTCTGAAGGTTGGTATGCTTCTCTGTGCTCAGTAAACTCAGGAGATGAATTAAAAGCAAACTCTTGATGAACATTCATCAGTCATTGATATTGACATGTTGGATGGTGCAGATATCCAAACAAATTCATATTGCTTCTGAGGAACATTGGAATCCTCTGAGGATATATTACAAAACAAACCAACAAAAATAAAAGGACCACACAACTATTCTCTTGGTATTATTTTATGTGGTGCTATTGGTCCACACTACCATCTTTTTTTTATTTAGGAATCTGGATTTGCTTTTCAATTTTAAACCTACTGATTTTTCTAGTGTCTTTGCAGGTTTGATTTTTCCATGAAGCACAGATTTTTAGGTTCTCCAAGTGTTCATGTGCCATAGAAATGCTTTCAAAGATTGTGCCAATCTTAGTGAAGAAGTTGTAACCCCCATGTGCACAGAGAGCATCACCTTTTACTAATTACAAAAACTTTGGAGACAGAGTCATACCAACCTCTAAAAATCCATAAAGCTGTCATATTTGCCAGAGAGTTGTGGTGATATTTTAACTTTGTAGAGAAGACACATGCTTCAGGTGGAGAAATGCTCCCATGCCCTATACCTTGGCAGTATAGGAAAACAGTTATGACAAATAGTTGGAGCATTCTGATTATGCTACTATTAAGGCAGAAATTACATGTGGTTTGGTTGTGTTGGGCAAGATACATCACAGGTACACAAACATCTTTTACATGGTAAACTAGAAGACTAATAGAGAAAGCATATGAAACATAAGTGTCCCTCAATTTTCTTTTACTGGTAGAGCTTACGATCCGTTATGCAATGATAAAATTTAATTACTTCTTTTCTCCTATAGCTTTGGTTTTCTTGACTCTAGGAATCACCTGGTAATGATGTGAATTATTTTCTAAAAAAAAAGTAAAAAATAAAATATGCTTCACTAACCTGTTCTTATGGAATATGTACTGAAAATCCACATCAATTAATAATACAACAGTCTTGCCCCTGCAAACGTTTGTTACTCTGGACATTGTTTGGTTATTATCAACATCAGGCACAGTGACTATTCTGTGGGTCACTATTCTGCACACCACAGAACCATAACAATAGGGTAATGTACTATTTGTAGACAGTAGCTTAAAAATAGAATTTCAAATTGGGCTTCAATAAGAAAAAATCTTGAAGCAGTAAGAATACCAAGCTGCTTTTGTGTGTGACTTCTAATAAAACATTGCCATTTCCTCTGACAAAAGTAGAGAAAGAAAAATGAAAAATATCCATTCCAACTATGAAGCTTGTGCAGAAAAACTGAAGTTTGATTTCCTGATGAATTGTGATTTCCTAACAGTTCATTTTCATAAAGAGAGAGTAAAAGATGGTATTATTTTTTAAAATATTTGCACCTTTTCCTAATGAGTTATTTAAAAATGTTCAAAAGAAGATCAGATCTCTCTTTTTAAGGCACTCTGAATTGGATGAATAATTACAATTGTATTTTCTGTGCCTTTAACAGAAATAAAGTGACCTGAGGTAACTTACTGTACTAACACTTTTACCTCCAATGATACTAGAATAATGAAAAATGTTTCTGATTTATCCACAGTATTACTTCCCCTTCATGTGCTAACATTTGCATAGTTACAGACATACTGAAACATTCACAGCTTGACAAATTTTTTCTTAACGAATGAATAAATAAGAGAGTGATACTTTCTTAGGCTTTCCCATTATTGATTTCCCATTATTATGGGAAGTTCTCCTCTATTACTCCAGATTCTTCCTTAATATTGTGTTGTGTATCATACCTAAAGCAGCCATTTGCACTGTCATGGTCACCAGCCTCCATGAACACCCCAGCAAAACAAGTTACAGAAGATATTCCCACACAGTAGAAAAACTAGGAATGCTAATTCTGCTCCCAAATGCTTTAAAAGTATTTTGTACAAGAGACTCCCTTGGTATAGCCACTCATTTTTGTCACATGTGAGAGGACATTTAAGACAAGTTTCATTCTATTTACAAATTGCTAAACAGTTTAAGCCTTTATAAATATTACCCACTGATTTATCTACATGTTGAGAATAGACACCAGATATATCCATAAATACAGCACATTTCAAAGCCAATGAAGCTTTATGCAGGCTTCTGAATTTATTTCATCTGATTAAAAAATTAATTTCATATAGATAATAGTGGCAACAATATCATTCCCTTCCCCTCCTACCCTTCCCTCCACATCTACTGAGCTGCTTTTCAATGCTTTTTCTAGGCCAAATTTTGTGCAAATTTTGAATTTCAAAGTGTTATTACAAAAGTGATTTTTCACCTTAATTCAGTTGACTGTTTCTTCTTACTTAGAATGCATTAATTCAAAACATAATTTACAATATCCACTGGAGACATTTGTTTATAGACATTTACTCACTACAATGCTGTGTGAAGTAGTATACTTTTAACCACTAACTATTAAATCAGCATTTTGGAGTTGCATGGCACATGTTAATAAAGAGACTT